CCCGTGCTTTGCTACAAACATGTAAGATATGTATAGAGAAATCAAAAGAGTGGCATCAAAGGGACAAATCCTTTGGCAAACTCCAGATCCTTCGTCATAGACAGAATTGGCTTGAAGATGATCCCATGCAACTTTCCGAAGAAAAAAAACTCAATTTTCTCATAGGTAAGCCATTGTAAAATTCTTGAACAAATCTCAGAACGAGTGTTGTTCCCATCACTCTCAATAGCTTTGTAGGTAAATTTAATGAAAAAGTTGCCCTCACTAGAAGGCATCGAGCATAAAATATCATCTTCGAACATAGAAACACGTACCTCTGTTAAGGAATACTGGAGAATTCCTGGGTGATGATTTGTTGTTTGTACTCCACAGCAAGAGAGACAGGATAACTCAATAATTGAAGTATAAAACCACTTACTCTAACCTCAATTCATGTGTGATTCTGTACTCCAGCTTTTGATTAAGAGCGGAGAGGAGGAAGGAGGGGAACGAAGCCTGGTCCGAGAAGCCATCTAGTGAATACACACATGGCTGGATCTTGAACCAGACTGCGTTTCCCCACACCCTCATTCTGTCACCTTCTTTCATCCCACAAAGCTCTGGAAAGTGTAAATTGTCATGAAGCTCCAAAGTCCAAAACTTGTCTCTATTTCAGGTCACCAAATATTGGAGCCTCTCTTGTCTTCAAGACTTTCCAACATTGAGTTCTCCATTGCTTGCGAACCGGGTTATCACATCCTATCATCTACTCTATCTCTTTCAACCCTCCCATCATATCTACAACATTATTTTTGTTTCTATTTCTCTTCATTCTTTAACATAATAGATCTTAATAATTTCTTTTACTTCCTCGTAACACATCATTTGCTCTTTTTTTAATAGATAAGGCCATGGTCAAAGTGACGTGATCACAAATGGATTAATAAGTATCCAAATAAAGAAAAGGCCCACCCATTGGGCGGTTCATTAAAAATTTTGGCATCAAAACTATTGTTGTCTGCTTGATGTGCAAGTCAGTCCATGCATTGATTAACTTTTTTGAAAGTATGATCAGCAGAAACTTTCCAATTGCATATGAATAGATCTCTTATCCTTTTGATGGTATCGATCATAGATTGTTTCTGGTCACAATTGCTCTGTATGAGTTAAATTGCTTCTTAGAATTACAACGAACATTGACATATAATATTTCCTTCCCAGCAGAGATTTAGACCCTCCACGTTACCCAAAAATTCTGTAGCTATAATTGGATGATAGGCTAGAAATTTCGTGAATATCTTTTTTCCCCCCTTTTAATTTCCTGATCCCAACTGACACCCACAAATAGCAAATTTATTTGAATCTGAAGAACCGAGTCTAATCCATCCAAGGTTAGGTGGTACCCATTTAGGGTAGGTATCTCCTCTTGCCCAGTAAAAAGACAGCTCATCCAAGATTCCAGACTGAAGTCATTTAATATGCTTGAGTGATAGGAAAGGCAATGGTGTTCCTTCATTTGAGTATAAATATCTGCACCTATCATTTGTTCTTTCTTAAAGTTCTCGTACTGTTCATTTCACTTGACGAACTTGCTTAAAAATTTAAAACCAAGTTTAGTGCGCGCGGCCTGCTGTTTTTTTTTTTTTGGTAACAAGAGGGAGGAGCATTCAAAAAAGTACTCATGTGTACTGTTTTGTTGAAACATTAATGATATTACTGAATTTTCAGAGCTTGGTCTTGACTCATCTGTCAATTTTCCCTCCCTTTGATACAAGAAAGGAGCAAAAAATAATAATAATAATAAAATAAAGTAAAAGGGAAACCTCCGATGGTGGAGTACCAGCTCTTCTAGGTACGATCGGAGGCTGGAATGAATAAAACGCGCAAATTTTAAGCAGATAA